GTGCAGGCAAGCGAAGTTCGGAGCCACCCACCTCCTTGCTAGGAACGCGGTGCCCAGTGGGCTTGTGGGCGCCGACGGTCTGCTGCACTAAGCCAGGTTTCCTGCAAACCCGATCGTGTTGGCATGTCAGACAACAACTGGAATCCCGGGTTATGGGAAAAGGGGGAGGGGGTGGGGGGTACTCGCGTTAGGGCAAAACGCGCTAAGAAGAACGGTAACCCTGGGGCATTAGTGTGCCTTGAACGTAAACCCTGGCACATCAGGAAAATCTAAAGCTCCAACAAAATTTACCCTAAGGCATCAGTGTGACTACCAAAAACCACCCTGATAATCAGTGTATCAGGGTGATTTACACTGATAAAATTAGGCAAGGCCGAGGCACTAAAGCGCAATTTGTAAAATGGGCATTCCACACACAAGACATAGTGCTATCCCACCACACCACATCTCCCCTGTCACAACACATGTACAAAACGCCACTAGCTTCACAAGTACTGCAAGTCCTACAATGGCAAAGCCACGCGCTGTGCTATTTCTCCTGCGCATGCTGATCGCATGGATACCGTTTTAATATTCCATGTTCATGGATGCAGTTGCAAAAGCTGTACGAGGCTTGCTAGAGAGCGACGTCTTCACGGACGAGCAATCACCAGCGAGCTCGTCATGATCCAACAGGTCTGCCGAGCGGGAAAGGTGCAACCGTCTACGCGCTCGTCGGTGCACGATATGGCTTGAAGACCTGCAAGGCATGAGCGATGGGGAGTTCAGAGACATTTTCAGGATCAACCGCCAAATATTGGAGTACATAACCGCCGGGATGGAATACTACATGCAACCTCACATCGAGCGCAGCCCTGATGTCACTTCTGAAGTGGCGGTAATAGTGGCAATCAAGTATTTGGCCAGCGGCATGTCCTACGTGGACATGTCTCACCTGTTCGGTGTTCCGAAGACGCTCTGTCACGCCCTTGTAGACGTCTTCCTTATGCACTTCCCGTCGGTCTTCAAGGATGACTGGGTGCACTTCCCCGGACGCGATGAACTGGACGACATGGCCGAAGAGTTCCGGGCAATGAAAGGGGTACCTGCGGCAGTCGGGGCTATTGATGGCACGCACATACACATGAAAGGGATGGAGGGGCACCGCCAGGAGTACTACACGCGCAAGTCTGCGTATGCCGTACAACTGCAAGTGACGTGTGACGCAACCGGCATCATTCGGGACTACCTCATTGGATATCCTGGAAGCGCACACAATCAACGAGTCTTCATGAGCAGTGCGTTACACGAAAGGTTGCTTAATGGCGACATAGCGCCATATCAAATCGTGAGAGATGCTGCCTACCCACTCAGAGATTTCTGCCTGACCCCACTTCATGCACCACGGGAGGGCCTAATGGAAGACTGGGAGCAGTGCTTCAACTACTGCCATACGGACAGACAGATGGTCACAAGACCAATCAAGAGAAGCAACAACACAAAGCTCAAGGTGGGTCACGAAGTCACTACCCAATCTGAGAACAAATCAGCGACCACAAAGCCAATTCAAAGAATTCACAAATACATATAAATGCAATGACAAACAGAGCAAGAAACAAGAGGCAAGAGTACATTGACCGAGAGCCTGCCTCAACAAGGCATAACTGCAGACTGAACCTGTGGTGGTCACTAAGCGGAAGGGCCTTGGTGAAGATGTCTGCAGTGTTGGCCTCTGAGACCACAACGTCTATGCGCGCCTGACCGCGCAGCTATAGCTATCGCTGTAGAAAGTACATGACGTCGATGTATTTCACTTCGTCTGCTCTCCAGTCGAGGCTCTCGACACAGGAGGATCTTGGCCTTGTTCAGCATGTGGTCTACGGCAAGAGGAGTGGGTTGTGCAGCAAAGAACTGAAATCCAAACCGCCGAAGGACCTGCTACACCGTGTATGACCAAGTCAGAGTGATGATCCCTAGTGATCCGAAATCCAAGGTAAAGGCGCAGCTCACCAAGGTTTGTGCATTTGTGTCTCTTCTGCAATTCAGACTTCACTCATCCAGAGCAACCCAAGTTGTCGACGTAGACGAGGACGAAGAAATGTGTGGGCCTTGAACAAACGAACACCGACGGGTCGACTGGCGAAGGACGGAACCCGAGGTCAGCAAGAGTGGTGCGTAGCGTGTTCTGCCAATTACGATATGCCTGGTGTAGACCATAGACTGGTCGTTTCAGGCTCCACTAGGTCCCAAGTGGGAAAGTGCCAGTGAAGTCAAGAGGATGACACAACCAGATCTCCTCATGCAAGCGGCCCTGGAGAAAGGCAGTGGAGAAGTCGAGGGAGTGCAGCTCATAATCAGTGCGAATCGAGGATAGAGTTCAGTAATCAAATAATGAATCCTGGGTACAATTACGGGGCTACATATAGGCACGAAACAAGGTAAGTAACCAAGATGTTACGAGAAGGTTCCGAGGGTCGCGAAGCATCCCGAACGGTCGAATTCGGTAGAAGCATCTCGGTGGTAAACCGAAAAGCACTAAATTCGTTACATGTAACCTATTCGGTGCCTCTAACTATAATAACTATAGCTAAGCAACGAAACTACGAAAACAAGCACTAAAAATAGAAATAAGCAAGATAATGCAAGGTAATATAAATATGGGTAAGCGTAGCCGTTGTACTCTCACACGTCCCCCCCTCAAAGCTATGTGGCATGAGAAACACCCTTCTTAACAAAACAATCCTTGAGAGCACATCGTGCATTGCCCATATATGTTTCCGCAACCTGTGAGGATCGAGGATCAAGTTAAAAAAATAGATTATGAATCTTGAGAATAACTATGGGGCTATATATAGGCACGAAACAAGGCCAGTAACCAGGATGTTACGTACCAGAAGGTTCCGCGGGTCGCGAAGCGTCCCGAACGGGTCCTTCCTGAATTCGGTAGAAGCCTCTTGGTGTAAACCAAAAAGCACGGAATTCGGTGCCTGTAACCTAGTTCGGTGCCTATAACTATAATAACAATAGTTAAGCAACGAAACTAGAAAAAGCAAGCAGAGAATATAAAAACAAGCAAGATAATGCAAGGTAAAATAAACATGTGTAGGCAGAGCCGTCGTACTCTCACACTTCCCCCCATCAAAGCTGGGTGGCGTGAGATACACCCTGGTTGACAATATAATTTTTGAGAGCACGGCGTGCGTTGCTTATATCAACTTATGCAACCCAACTGTCCTCCGATGTGTCATATCCCTTCCAGCGTAACAGGAACTCGAGTGTCTTGCCGCGTTTGTGTCGATGAGCGAGGACACGTTCCATCTCGCACTCTGGTTCATCCTGTACGAAAACATGTGGTGGTGGTGGTGGTAGCTTTCGTTCCTGGAACTGTTGGTTGGGGTCCTCGTAGGGCTCCAGTAGTTGAACATGGAAAGCGTTGTGAAGCTTCCACGTAGAAGAATGTTATTGGTGTTACTATGGCCTCAACGCAAAAAGGACCACAGAAGCGAGGTTGAAGCTTGGACGGTAAATGGATTAAGTCCAAGTTGCATGTGTTGAGAAGCACCTGATCTCCGATTGCTTCCGAGTCATCTCGTCGCTGTCGATCTGCATACTGCTTCTGGGAGTTCTGCATCGCGGTGAGACGTCGCTGGGTCTTCTCGTATAGCTGCTGCATGGTGGTGACGAAGTCATGTGCGGCTTGGACGTGTGCCGTGTCAGAATAGTGGCATAAGTAGGTAGTTGGGTTTAAGTGAGGGCCTAGGCTTAGTAGCCTAGGCCAAGGGGAGTCGAGAGAGTTGTGCCAAGGAGGAGTCGAGAATGATGGTGTTCACTATAGCATGAGGGTACATATAGCAAACAAATGAAGAGGTGCACCACCTACAAAGTTAATAACTACACTACAGCTAGAACTACATGCAGTTATAACATAATTCTGACATCCCCCCGTAACTGCATGCAGGAATAGCCAAGTGCAAGACACAACCTGCAGGGGTACATCATAGATAAAGAAAATAGCAACAGCAGGCAAGAGCAGATGCAAGTTCACAAAATAGAGACAAGTGGCAGCACTAGAGGGGCAGTGAGGAGGAGGAGTTGGGAGGCGGCAGGTGAGGCTGCTGGCTTCACGGCGGCTGCCTCCTGGAACCTCCCCCATGCTCCCAAACCCCCTTTGCACACTCCTCAACGCCCCTAGTGCCACTCCCCCGGCTCCCCACACCCTCACACCCCCCCCCCCCAGCGGCAACTGCAGCAGTGGGAGAGAAAGGAGGAGGGGAAGGGGATCACACACACCCATCACCCAGAGGGGCGGCGCGCAGGGAAGGGCAGGGTCGGCTGCACCGAGGGCAGGCGCGTGAAGGACAGGGGCGGCTGCACCGAGGGCAGGCGCCGTCGCGGGCGTCAGGGGCGGGCCATGTTGTTTGTGGCAATTGTTTGCATCACTCGTGCCATCACTGTTTGTGGCCTCCATAGCATATCTCTCGCCATTCCATGTCTCCGCTCCGTCTGTAACCAGGTGAAGATGGTAACGGCCACCAACAGCCCAGACGTCCTTGAACCTTCTCTCTTTGTCCCAGGGAACGTCAATTTACAAGCCAGAGCTTTTGTTTTCTCCATTCCGTATGCCCAACTCGCCTTATCCCTGGGTGAAGATGATCATGGTTACGCTCCCTCTGGACTCTCCCTTTGTACCCTCCCTTTGTACCCTCCCTTTGTACCCTCCCTTTGTACCCTCCCTTTGTACCCTCCCTTTGTACCCTCCCTTTGTACCCTCCCTTTGTACCCTCCCTTTGTACCCTCCCTTTGTACCCTCCCTTTGTACCCTCCCTTTGTACCCTCCTTCTGTGCCCTCCTTGCATGTCTCCACTCCCTTTGCACCACCAGGTGAAGATGATCATGGCCACCAACAGGCCAGACGTGCTCGACCCTCCTCTCCTGCGGCCCTCTGTTTACCCCTTGTCGCTCGCACCCCGCCCATCACCCCTTTGTACCGGCCCTAAACCCTAAACCTTCACCAGGTGAAGATGATCATGGCCACCAACAGGCCCGACGTGCTGGACCCGGCGCTGCTGCGGCCGGGGCGGCTGGACCGCAAGATAGAGATCCCGCTGCCCAACGAGCAGGGGCGCATCGAGGTGCTCAAGATCCACGCGCTCGGCATCACCAAGCACGGCGAGATCGACTATGAGGCCATTGTTAAGCTGGCGGAGGTGAGTCAAGCTGGCGGAGGTGAGTCAAGCTGGCGGAGGTGAGTCAAGCTGGCGGAGGTGAGTCAAGCTGGCGGAGGTGAGTCAAGCTGGCGGAGGTGAGTCAAGCTGGCGGAGGTGAGTCAAGCTGGCGGAGGTGAGTCAAGCTGGCGGATGTGAGTCAAGCTGGCGGAGGTGAGTCAAGCTGGCGGATGTGAGTCAAGCTGGCGGAGGTGAGTCAATCTGGCGGATGTGAGTCTATCTTGTGAGGTGAGTCAATTTTGTGAGGTGAGTCGCTGTCAAGGCTTCAGCTGGCTGAGGTGAACCCGTCTTTGCATTACCCCATTCCTCCTCTCCTTCCCTTTTGCAATCATCTCCCTCCCTATTCCCCCTTCCCCTCCCCTGTTCTATCCACCCTTTGTGCCATTTTTCTGTATCTTCCCTGCTTTATGAGTGCATATCTGAGAGCTCTTGAAAGAACAAGGTACCAGGGATGCCTGACCTGCTTCACTACCTTAACTCATCCATACCAACTCCACCTGGTTGGCTGTGCATGCAGGGCTTTAACGGGGCGGATCTGCGCAACGTGTGCACAGAGGCGGGCATGTTTGCCATCAGAGACGACCGCGACTATGTTGTGCATGAGGACTTTATGAAGGTGAGTCGCGACTATGTTGTGCATGAGGACTTAATGAAGGTGAGTCGCGACTATGTTGTGCATGAGGACTTTATGAAGGTGAGTCGCGACTATGTTGTGCATGAGGACTTTATCAAGGTGAGTCGCGACTATGTTGTGCATGAGGACTTTATGAAGGTGAGTCGCGACTATGTCGTGCATGAGGACTTTATGAAGGTGAGTCGCGACTATGTTGTGCATGAGGACTTAATGAAGGTGAGTCGCGACCATGTCGTGCATGAGGACTTTATGAAGGTGAGTCGCGACTATGTTGTGCATGAGGACTTTATGAAGGTGAGTCGCGACTATGTTGTGCATGAGGACTTTATGAAGGTGAGTCGCGACTATGTTGTGCATGAGGACTTTATGAAGGTGAGTCGCGACTATGTTGTGCATGAGGACTTTATGAAGGTGAGTCGCGACTATGTTGTGCATGAGGACTTTATGAAGGTGAGTCGCGACTATGTCGTGCTTGAGGACTTTATGAAGGTGAGTCGCGACTATGTTGTGCATGAGGACTTTATGAAGGTGAGTCGCGACTATGTTGTGCATGAGGACTTAATGAAGGTGAGTCGCGACTATGTTGTGCATGAGGACTTTATGAAGGTGAGTTGCGACTATGTTGTGCATGAGGACTTCATGAAGGTGTGTGCTGTCAGGAACACATGTTCTGATATATGGTGGTGTTGCTAGTGCAGGGAAAAGAATATCATGTATTTCAATTTGTGTATTAAATTTTGACTTCCACCCTGGCTTTTTGTTTGTTTTTGTTTTTGTTTTTGTTTTTTTCTTTTTTTCTTTCTGCAGGCAGTGCGCAAGATTACAGATGCCAAGAAATTGGAGTCAAGTGCTTCTTACTCAGCGGACTTCGGAAAGGACTGATTTTTACCTACCGTAGGTTGTTGAGCGTCCTCATTTTGTTTGTACCGTACCAAATTCAGCATTCACCCTTTTGACATAAATCAACAGGTTGTAATTGAAGCCAAAATGGAAATCCCCATTCCCCAGACTCTCTAAGATTCCACGTGCCAGTCCGTTGTCTCAAACCAGGCAGCATGTCTGAGAGTACCGGTACTAGCGGAAGGTGGGATACAAGTACACACTCTAGAAATGTTATCCTCTCTACTGTTTGCCTCACTACAGCCTAGCATACACAATCATATATATCGTTTAACACACCCCCATAGGCTAACAGAACATTCTCATCTGGACATTTGTGTCTCAATCTCTGACTTCCCGAGTCGCGCTTGCACATATGCCCAACCTCGCGTCACAAAACGCGAATGTACCGCGACACATTACGACCTGGCGATGTGTACAGTTGTGAGTCTGTCATTGGCTACGCCTATAGAGAATGTCACACTTCGCATAGGTGACGGGCAGAGACACAAAACATTCGTGCATCAATCGGGCCCTCTGAGCCGGGGCCAGGGCTAATTTTTTGTTTTGAGCAACCCTTATGATCATAGCTGCACCGGTGCAAATTCCTGATTATCAGTGTGACCCACGGCCTTAGAAGTCAGGACTTTTACCCTGAATTCTTGAAATTTGACCCTCGTTTTTTTACCGTGACCCTAATGTCTCTGTTAGAATTACTAGGCAGGAATCAATGAACTATGCAGCATGCAGGAGTACAAGTAGTAAACCCTAATTGTGTTGTACCCCATATGGGCTACCCCACTACAGCCTACACAATATGCAGCATATACAGTTTGACACACCCCCATAGGCAAAGTGGGGGAGAGCAAGGGGTCACAAGACCAGTCAAGAAAAGCAAAGCAAGCTCAGGGTGGATCACAACGTCACCACACACACTGAGCACAAGCAAAGGGCCACAAGGCCAGTTCACATGCAGAGGTATATATGCAACAAGAACAGTACAGTGATCACTACCTAGCAAGAGCAAGCATGCAGGTATATATATATGGATCACAGTACAAGCAGAATCTACAGCAAGTGTGAAAACGTAGGCACAAGGCCCAACAAAGTACAAAAGCGCTGATGGTCACTAGACGGAAAAGCCTTGGTGAATATATCAGCAGTGTTGGCCTGAGTGGCCACGTGTGCAAGACGAAGCTGACCACGCTGCTGCAACTCTCGAGCCAGGAAGTAACGCAGAGCGATGTGCTTCGTTCTGTGCTCCAGTCTGTGCTCCTCACACAAGGCAATGGCGGCCTTGTTGTCGACATACAGCACTGGAGGAGAACGAGGCCGCTCTCCCAAGTCGGTCAGCAGGTAAGTGAGCCAGCGTAACTCCTGAGCAGCCATGGCCGTGGCGTAGATCTCAGCCTCACAACTGGAGCTGAGAACTGAAGACGAGCGAGTAGAACGCCAAGAAACAGAACCGGAGCCAAGGCTGAAAGTGTAACCCTGTGACGACTGCTGCGTAGCCTGGTCGTCAACCCAAGAAGCGTCTGAGTGCCCAGTGAGGACCACGTCTCTCCGCCCTCCAAGCACGAGCCCCATGCCCGATGTACTGCACAAGTAGCGCAATACCCTCTTCGCGGCATCCCAGTGCACCTTTCGGTGTCGACCAGGAGCCACGTAGCGTGCCAGAAGGCTAAGAGGGTACGCAAGGTCAGGACGAGTGCAGGTCATTAGGTACATGAGGCAGCCCACTAGCTCTGGGTAAGGACCACTCGGCTCTACGGACTCGTCCGAAGGTGGAGCTGAGAGCGAATGACCTGTAGCCAGAGGAGTGGACTGTGGCGAGGACCAGGTGAAGCCGAAGCGCTGAAGGACCTGCTGCACCATGTGTGATTGAGTCAGTGTGATGGTGCGGCGTGCTCTGTCCCGGGTGATCTGCAAGCCAAGGTAACTGCGCAGCTCACCCAGGTCTGTGCACGCGTGTCTCTTCTGCAGCTCCGACTTCACAAGAGCAAGTGCCTCAGTGTCAGCAGTAGCAAAGACCAAGTCGTCGACGTACACGAGGATGTAGAACGGCGGCAGTGACGTGTCTGTGCGCAGGAACAGTGAAGGGTCTGCAGTGGAGGGAGCAAACCCAAGAGCCGCAAGTGTAGTCCTCAGTGTGTCGTGCCACTCACGTGGCGCCTGGCGGAGACCGTAAACTGGCCGTCGGAGGCTCCACTGGGTACCAGGAGGGAAAGACCCAGTGAAGCCAGGAGGACGGCGCAGCCAGATCTCCTCGTGCAGGCTGCCCTGCAAGAAAGCCGTGCTGAAGTCACGCTGAGCGGCAACGTGCAGCAGCACCCAAAGAGTGGTCATCTTCGGGGTAGGGGAGAAGGTCTGGAAGAAATCAACTCCCTGTCGCTGACTGAAGCCTCGAGCAACGTAACGAGCCTTGAAGACAGACGGAGAACCCGGCGACCGCTTCACCCTGAAAATCCACATGCCATCGACGATGTTCGCCCCAGGAGGGGGAACCTCGTCAACGTAAGTGCCTGTGGACTTCCAGGATGCCATCTCTGCGTCCATGGCTGTCTGCCACTGAGAGGAGTAGGGACCCGCAATCGCCTCAGCGTAAGAGCGCGGGGTAGGGATGTCAAGAGCATCCGGGTCTCCCTCAGGGGCAAGCAGCATGGCCACGAGATGAGGCGCAGCGGCCGCAAGACACTCAAGGTCCTCCTGTCTGTCCTCAAGAACGTCCGTGCCAAGAGCACACTCACCCCCGACGGACGGAGGACAGACAGACGCAGACTCAGCAACAAGACTAGCAGCGTAGTCTAGACGACAGGCAGCAGCAAAGTCAACAAGCTCAGCGACCAAGGCAGACGCAGCAGCAGACTCAAACGACGGGTCGGTGACAACAGTGGCTAACAGACGCGTGACAGTAGGGTGCTCAGCACGAAACCGGTCAGACTCAGGGTCCGGAACGTCAGGCAGAGAGGACGCAGGAGGAGACGGCAGAGGAACACGCTGCGGAGCAGAGGACGGACGACGGACAACGAGGTGCGCGCCGGGGACAGCCGGCGGACGCGGACGAGAAACACGACGAACGGTACGATCAGAGGGAACAGGTGAGGCAGGACGCGACGCAGGCTCACGACGCTCAGTAAGACCCCCTAGCTGCTCAGTGTAAGGAGAAGGAGCAGGCAGCGGTGAGCAAGGCTGTAATGAAAGACGAACCAGTAGAAGACGGGAGGCTAAGAACCTGGCGAAGCACAGAGTCAGGCGGTGGCGGAGACGACGGAGATGGCGGAGCGAAGAACAGTCTCGGCTGCGCCGTGCCACCAGTACCAACAGCTCCAGCGCCTCCAGCACCAGCGCCTCCAGGACCAGCTCCACCAGCCGCAGCACCCCCAGAACCGGCACCTCCAGTCCCAGGGTCTCCAGCCGCAGCGTCTCCAGCAGCAGCACCCCCAGAACCGGCACCTCCAGTCCCAGGGTCTCCAGCCGCAGCGTCTCCAGCAGCAGCACCCCCAGAACCGGCACCTCCAGCCCCAGGGTCTCCAGCCTCAGTGTCTCCAGCAGCAGCACCCCCAGACACAGCACCTCCAGTCCCTGCAGCTCCAGTACTGCCAGGACGAGCACCTCCCGGACCAGCAACTCCAGCACCTCCTGTAGACAAAGTACCAACGCCACTCCCAGCTCCAGTGGCGTCAGCAGAAGCACCTCCAGCGGCAGAGCTGCGAGCTCCAGCAGCGCGAACCTGACGGCGACCGTACCAGTCGTGCAGCTGCTGTGAGGTGAGAGGCACACGTGGACGAAGGCGGCCACTCCAAGGAGACCGCGCACCAGCAGTCGCAGCACCTTCAGGCAGTCTCCGCACCCCCAGACTCAGCACCCCCAGACTCCACACGCATAGGCTCAGCACCCCCAGACGTAGTACCTCCAGTCTCCTCACGCTCAGGCTCAGCACCCTCAGCAGCTCCAGAACCTCCAGCAGAAACAACTCCAGTAGCAGAGTCACAAGCTCCAGCGCCTCCAGCAGCAGGGCCCCTAGCTCCAGCAGCGCGACCCTGACGGCCAACGTACCACTCACGCAGCTGCTGTGGGGAGAGAGGGAGTAGACGACGAGAGTGCAGCGGCGAGACACCAGCGGAGCGACTACGGAGACGGCCGCTCCAGGGAGACTGCTCACCAGACGCCTCGGTGCCCCCAGGTGCAGCACCCCTAGACTCAGTACCCCCAAGCTCAGCACCCCCAGACTCCTCACACTCAGGCTCAGCACCTCCAGGCTCCGCACCCCCAGGCTCCACACCCCCAGGCTCAGCACCCCCAGGCTCAGCACCCCCAGGCTCCGCACCCCCAGGCTCAGCACCCCCAGGCCCAGCACCCCCAGAAGTAGCACCCCGAGCAGGACCACCCGCAGCAGGACCTGAGTCACCAGTGACCTCAACTGGCGCAGTCAAGGGAGGAGGGTCAACCTGAGACACACCTGAAGGAGCAGGACCGGGAGCGGGGAGGGGGTCTACCTGGGGAGCACCTGGAGCGAGGAAGAGCGGCGGGGGGGGGGGGGGGGGGGAGGGGCAGTGCGGTAGGGGAAGAGACGGTAAAAGGGAACCGACTCGTCGAACGTGACGTCCTGAGAGGGGAAGACACGGCGCGAGGTGGGGTGGTAAAACTGCCAACCAGGCGCGTCAAGGACAAAGCCAAGGTTGACACAGGGAACAGCGTGGGCGGAGAGCTTGTCCGCGGTGGTATCGCGAACAAAGGCACGAGCACCCCAGACCCGGAAACGCGACGCATCGCCAACCTTCCCCGTCCACAGCAGTGTGGGCGAGGTCTCCGGCAAGGAGACACGGGGCCAGAGGTTGAGCTGATGCGCGGCGTACCGGACCACAAACGGCCACAGAAAATGGGGGGCAGCCGCATGGATCATGGAGGTACGAGCGACCTCCATGACTAAGCCAATGCGGCGCTCAGCAACCCCATTCTGCTGCGGAGAGGCCGGAAGCGTGAACGTCTGGCGGATGCCGTGC